ATGGTTCGCCCGCAGCAGTGTGAGGATTGAGAGGGATTAAAGGAGGGTCGAGCGAACGAAATGAGGCGAGAAGTGGTGATGGATGCATGGATGGCTTGACGGAGCGAGGGATGACGGGAGAGAGAATTTTGCATTGGCCCGGCGTTGTGCAAGCGCGTTGATTGAGTGGGAAGGTGGGCGTCAACAGCACGAAAGTGTATAGGGAGATGTCACTGGTTGATCACAAGGAGGTCAGGCAGGCTCGTTGGGTTGATTGGCCGTGCGAGTGGAAGCAGAGAAGCGAGCCAGGAGTGGGCGGCCTTCGCTGAGCACATGAAGGATTCGCGTTTCTCTCTCTCACTCTTTGTCTTTTGTTTGTTCTCTCTCTCTCTCTCTCTCACTCACTCTATTGCGAAAGCCTTACGGCTTGTGCCGCCGGCCCTGAAGGCGGGACCTCCCTTGGGCGGTGTTCTGACCAGGGACCCCTCCCCCCCCTACCACCACCCCTAAACATCCCCCCCTCGGCAGGGGAGGGATAAAGGGAAGGGTCTTCCCTTCGACATACCTACAACGTTCCTTTACGCGTCTCTCTCTCTCTATCTCTCTTCTGTCTCAGCTCTCTCTCTGTCTCTCCGTCTCTTTCTCTTTCTGTTCTTTTTCTCTTGCACGTGACTCTGTTTGCGGGGTGTGGACGGAGAAGGGACGGAATACTCGAATCAGCGAAGGAGCGTGGCTTGTGCAGGCGGGGGGTGCGACGGAAGTGTGGGCATCACAGCGGACGCGCGGAGCCGCCTCCTCCATTTCCCCCTTTCCCTCCTGCCTTACGCCTTTATGCCTTCTCCCTCCCTACTCCATCCACCCTCCGTCTCCCCCTCCCTCTCCTCATCACTCCTCCTTCCTCTTCTCTCCCTCTGCAGTCGCGTCCAGACACATGCCAATGCGCTGCTCCCCAGACCAACTTCGAGAAGTGGAACATACGGTCCACCATCGAAGGTGAGCGCATCCTCAGGGAAGACGTTGACTTGCTCTCGCATCGGCCGTGACGAAAAGGAACATGAGCCTGGCCAACGGAGAAGCGAAGTGACATCTGCAGGAGGAGAGTGGAGGATGAGGAGGATCCCGAAGAAGCCGGAGGGTCTGGAGGAGGGAAAGGAGGAGCCCGAGGAGCAGGATGGGGCGTGAGGACGAGGGCGAGGATGAGGACGAGGAGAAGGATGATGGGGGGAGGGAGATGGATCCGGAGGAGCCGAAGAGCAGGAGGGTGGAGCGGGAGGGGGAGGGGGCGCGCTGGATGAGGCCGAGCGGCTGGCGGTGCCTCGGCTATCCGAGGGGCGGGTCAAGATGGAGTGATGGATGGGGAACCGGAGAGGGCAGAGGAGGGGCCTTAGGATAGGGGAGGAGGAGGAGGAGGAGGAGGAGGAGGAGGAGGAGGAGGAGGAGAAGGAGGAGGAGGAGCAGGAGGAGGAGGAGGAGGAGGAGGAGGAAGGAGGAGTGGGAACTGGATGAGGAGCAGGTTTGGGAGGACGGTCTTCGGAGGATGAGGGCACAATCTTGCCTTTCGACGTCCCATGTTTTGTTGCATCCCCTTGGAAGGGGTTGGTGATATATATATATATATATATACATATATATATATACATATATATATATATATATATATATATATCCGTAAGGGCTTCGCCCCCTGCCGCCGGCCCCTTCTCTCGGAGAATGGGCCATGGAAGAGCTAAGTCATGAGGCCTTGGCGCTGTCGTGAAGCAGTATCGAAACTTCATGCGAAGCCGATTCGCAATCAGCAAAACCAACTGATCACAAGAGGGGTTACCACACCTGGCGATTGGTAAGACGTGTATGGTTTACGGGCTTGGTTACCACACCTTGCGATTAAAGGGCCGAGGGAGTTCTCGCAGTTTGGGTTACCACGCCTTGCGATGGATGTGCGTGAAGGGTGGCACCGAATTTCAGAAATGTGCAAATCCCCTGTGTTTTTGGACCCTGACCCCGCGGATCTGCGTGAGGGGTGGCACCGAATTTCAGAAATGTGGCAAATCCCCTGTGTTTTTGGACCCTGACCCCGCGGATCTGCGTGAGGGGTGGCACCGAATTTCAGAAATGTGGCAAATCCCATGTGTTTTTGGACCCTGACCCCGCGGATCTGCGTGAGGGGTGGCACCGAATTTCAGAAATGTGGCAAATCCGATGTGTTTTTGTACCCTGACCCCGCGGATCTGCGTGAGGGGTGGCACCGAATTTCAGAAATGTGGCAAATTCCCTATGTTTTTGGACCCTGACCCAGCGGATCTGCGTGAGGGGTGGCACCGAATTTCAGAAATGTGGCAAATCCTGTGTGCTTTTGGACCCTGACCCCGCGGATCTGCGTGAGGGGTGGCACCGAATTTCAGAAATGTGGCAAATCCCATGTGTTTTTGAACCCTGACCCCGCGGATCTGCGTGAGGGGTGGCACCGAATTTCAGAAATGTGGCAAATCCCTTGTGCTTTTGGACCCTGACCCCGCGGATCTGCGTGAGGGGTGTCGATTTCGAGCCCCCCCAGCAATTCAGACAACGCGCCCTGGAGACGCTAAAAATCCCGTTTGGGCCTCCCCCCCTCTCGCGCGGTCAATCAACTAGTTACAGTAACCAGCAAGAAGCAGAACTGCAACACTGGAAACTACAAACTACGAGTGGTACAGGAAACTGCGAATCACGGGCCTACAGCCTGGTGGCCCCACAAGGGGGCCGGCGGATATACACACTAGTTCCCGCTCACGCCAAGCCTCCGTTGGCGTCGATGAAGGAGCAGATCGACGAAGTGAAGGAAAAGGAGGAGGAGGAGGAGGAGGAGGAGGAGGAGGAGGAGGGGCTGAGCGGACCTCCTTCCTCCCCCTTCGCTCCTCGCTCCTTCCTTCTTTCCTACCCCCTCCGTACTGCGTCCTGACTCCTGCCTGTCCATCCCTCCTTCCCCCTCACCTACTTACTCCTATCCCCTCCTTCCCCCCCTCCGGACACCTCCCTCCTCCCGCTCTTGTTCCGCCTCTCGTTCGTGATGTTATACTTGTTTGGCACTGCTGCTGTTGCTGATGCTTACCTCCGTATCATCATCCGTACCTATCCCACTCTCCATCCTCCTTCCCCTCCTCTCCTCCCTCCACATATCCCCCTGATCCTACTCTTCATGCTTCTGCACGCGCTGTTCCTTTTTACCTTCGACGCCTTCTACTCCTCCCGTTTGGCCCCTTGCCCTCCCTATCCCATCTACCTACCTCTCTCCATCCTCCATCATCCCTCCCTTACCCTTCTCCCCTTCCCCCTCCAGTCTTCTTCCTCTTGGCTCTTCCCCCCCTTCACGCCTCCCCACTTCCATCATCCCTCATTCCCTCCTCCCCGCTCCCCCCCCCTTCCTTCCCTCCCCCTCCTTGGAGACCTCCAGCCGCTCCCAGAGCCCTGTCGAAAAGCCTCGCAAAGCATTCGGGCCCTTCGAAACCTCCATCCCTTCTCCTGGAAGTCTCCGACGGCCTCCCGAGATCCCTGGAGATCTGCAGCGATTCCTTGAGCTCTCCGAGGGTCTCCCGAGGGGCCCACGGGTCTCTAGATGCAGAAGAAAGCTCATAGCATCCGAAATCTTCAACCCTCCAGCATCGAACCCTTTGCTGCGCCGACGCACGAGCCCCACATGTGACCTCGCGGGTCCCTGGCAGATTGCGAACTCCACGATTATCGCCACTTTCAAAGGGTGCAACCGTCGCCACTTTCGTGGGCTCCTGGGAGGCACGGCGGAGCAGGGAAGTACGTGCACCCAGCCAGGACTTCGCAGCTCCTTGTGGGGCTGCGAACTGCGTAACTGGCGCCATTTTCGGTGGCTTCTGGGGAGTACGGCGGACTAGGGGAGTACGCCCACCTAGCCGAGATTAGGGATTAAACCTTAGGGCTTTGGCCTTAAGAGTGAAAGCCTGGGATCAAGGTGTTAGGGCTTATGGCTTACGTATTAGGGCTTAGGGCCGAGGGCCAAGGGTTTAGAGCTTAGGGCTTAGGGGTTAGAGCTTAAGGGCCAGGGTCCTGGTGTTGGCGTGTTCGGTATAGGATGTTAGGGTCAGGGTGTTAGGCTTACGGTGTTTTGCTTATATTGTTAGGGTTAGGGTGGTAGGCTTAGGGGGGTTGGGCAAGGGTGTTAGGGCCAGGGTGGTAGGACTATGGTGTTAGGGATGGGATTCGGGTGTTAGGGCAGTGGTGTTAGCGTCAGGGTGTTACGCTTAGGGTGGAAGGGCTCGGGTCAGGTGAGTGGTAGGGTTCGGAGTACAGTGTTCGGGGTGTTTGGAGTAATTATTATAGCTCAGGGCGGTAGGGTTCGGATTCGGGTGTGATGGTGTTAGGGTTAGGGTGTTCGGGCTTTTGTGTTTTTGTGTCAGGCTTAGGGTGTCAGGGTTAGGGTGTTAGTGTTAGGGTTAGAGCGGTAGTGTCAGGGGGTAGTGTTCCGGAAGGGGCAGGGGGGGGGGTCCGGGACAACGGATCGGGTAGGCGGGGGGGTCCCGGGACCGGGGAAAGGGGGGGAGGGAGAGGGTTTTCGATCCCCCCCACCCTTTGAGGCATCCAGCGGCGCGGCCTCCCCGTTTGGTCCTTTGCTCCCGCTCTCCCATCTGCCTCCATCCCTAGCTTCCTCCATCCTCCATCATCCCTCCATCATCCTTCCCCCCTTACCCCTCCTGCCTCCTTGTTCCTGGCTCTTCCCCCCTCACGCCTCCCCGTCCCCCCCTTCCTTCTCCCTCTTCGGAGACATCCAAAGCTCTCAGAGCCCGTTCGAACAAAAACTCCCAATGCATTCGGACCCGTCGAGACTTTCATGCTTCTCTTAGAGCTTTCCGAGGGTCTTCCGTGGTGTCCACGGGTCTCTAGAGGCAGAAGAAAGCTCATAGCAGCCGAAAGCCTCGACCTTAGTATTTCGATCCCACTCCTCCTGCGCCGATGCTCGAGGGGATCGTGCCTTCAAGCCGCGCGTCCGTCACGGGCGTGCGCGGCCGCGCTCGATGGGCGGCAGCTCGAGCACGGCAAAAGGCCTCGACCAGGCCCGTCCGGACGGAGGAGGCACAGTCAGGGTGGAAGGCGGGAGAGTTGCTGGGAGCCGGGGGAGCAGAAGCAAGGAGCGGGAGCGTCAGCATGAGACGAAGAGCTGGAGCAGCTCGAGGGTCGGGGTATGGAGCTGAGGGCGAGGAGGAGGAGGAGGAGGAGGAGGAAGGAGGAGGAGGACAGGCAGCGAGGAGTACCCGCAGCATCAGCATCAGCAGCTGCGGCAAGGGGGGAGTGGGCGCAGGCGCGCATGACCACCTGGCTAAGCAATCGTCGAGGCTTCTGGGAGGGAGTGCCAGCTGTGGGTCCAGCGGCAAGGACCGCGGGGTGGCTCGCGGAAGCCATCGACGGGGCTGCCGAGGGGCCATGGTCGGGGTCCGAGCCCACCGTGACCCAGCCGAGCCTGGGCGAGTCGGCCGCGGTAAGGGTCGGGCCGCGGCGGAGGTGTTGGCGGCTAAAGGTGCGCGTGCCAAGCGCCTGGCCGCTGGCACATGGGCGCAAGAGGTCCCCAACGGGGCTACGAGGTGGGCCGTCGAGGGTGAAGAACGCTGCAAGGAGCTGGAACAGGCGAGGTGGACAGTAGCAGGCATGACGGATGCATAGCTCTTCCCTCCTCTGCGCCTGCCCCTCATCGTCTCCCTTCCGTCGTGATCCCCGCCCAGGCCCAGAGGAATGCGAGCCTCAGGCAAGGGAAGGTGGCCATCTCGGGTCGCTACCACAAGCTGCCCAGGAGAATGGAGGATGTCTCGCCTCCTCCGCAGCGTGGGAGGTGTTCAAGGGGATCAGGAGGACTAGTAGAGGGAGGACTAGCAACACCAGGATTAGGACGAAGGGGTGGCGCAGTCGGTGGCGGAGGCCAACAGGAGTAGTCGGCCCGCTTCTCTCTTCCGTGCCCGCTCCTGCTTCACCCGCTATTGTTTTTTGTCTCGCCGTAAGTTTCGCCCGTGATTCGCGCCATGACGCGTGGTCATGGGTGCCGCCAGTTCTACATTGTGGCTAATGCTTGCGCCCATTTCTCGCGGCTAGAAGTTGCGCCTACTGCGTGTTTATTGCGCCTCCTGTGTCCAGTTTCCAGGGTTACCTTGGAAACACATCTTTCAAAGGAAGGAGATATCTGGTTTACTCACTGAAGGGAATCTTACTGGCCGCCTGGCCACCTGGAGGCGAGCGTTACGACGGCGACGAGGAGCGTTGCGACGACAGCGCCGAGGAGCGTTGATGCGTCTGTAACGAGAGTCCCGACTTACAACAAAGGCGACACGCGTTACGACGACGACAGCGACGAGCGTTATGGCGACGAGCGTTATGGCGACGAGCGTTACGGCGATGACGGCGACGGGCGTTACGACGACGACGTTGGCGACGAACGTTACGACGGAGACGTGGAGCTTTACGACGACCACGGCGACGAGCGTTGCGACGACGACGACGACAAGTGTTTCGACGACGGCGACGAGTGTTACGGCGGGGGCGGCGAGAGTTGTGACGACGACGCTGGCGAGCGTCGAGTCTAAAAGAGCCTCCAAACAGGGCCCCTTAGAGCCCACAGAGGTGACTGTCAGTTGGGATAAGTTTGAGACCCTATCGGGCGGGGCCCTCTTGGGGCCGATTTGGAATGTTTCGGACCCCCCTGCAGTCCCCATTTTGAACCAAAAAGGCCCCGAGGAGACTCTCAGATGGTCGGGGCCCTCTTGGAACAGTCGGGGCCCTCTTGGAGTCCCCTGGAAGGGCGGGTTCGGACGAGGAGAGGCTAACGCGAGGAGGAGGAGGAGGAGGAGGAGGAGGAGGAGGGTAATCCTGCGAACTTTGGATTTCCAGAGGGTTTTGTCGCTCAGGCGCGGTCCAATCAGTATTCCATGCGATGTTGCATAACGATTTCTGTTAGTCCGCTTGTCCAGGACATTCCTCCAAAATGTCCAGTTGCCTCCGGCAATTCCGCCACCGTGCCAGCACAGCATTCTGGGTGGCAACTGCTGGAGGAGGCACGGGGGCCTGCTGGGGGGCCTCTTGGGGCAGAAGGCTCGAATTCTTGTTCGTGTTCCCACTCTCAGGCCCTACTTGGAGCCGTCGTGGGACCCTCTTGGGCAGTCTTGGGCGCCTCTTGGGCCGTCTTGAAGCCCTCTTGGGCCGCCTTGGAGCTCTCTTCGCGAGGGGCCCTTTAGCTGTCTAGGGGGAGTCTTGGGAGCCTCTTGGGCCGTCTTGGAGCATCTGAAGCTCGAAAAGGCGAGATCCCACACATTGACAGCCATAGGAGGTCATTGGCCTTCTTGGGGGCCTCTTAGGGGCCTCTTTAGGCTTCCTTAGGGCCTCCTGAGCCGCCCTCTTAAGGCAGAAGGCTCGGATTGTCGGTTCGTGTTCACCCTATTTGGGGCCCTTTGGGGCATTCTTGGGTGTTTCTTAGGCCGCTCTGGAGCCCTCTACGGCCGTCTTGGGGACCTCGTGGGGGCGTCTTGGGCCGCCTTGGCAATTGTTGCCTTTCGGGACCCTCTCGGGAAGGCTTTTCGGGTCATCTTATCTGAAAGGGGGGTACCTGGCAACATACATACATGTGATGTACACTATATATATATATATATAAATGTATCTATACATGACAGTGTACATGTATATATATATATATATATATATATATATATGTTCATATACATATAGATAAGCGTGTGTACTCTTCCCACGGTCCCCACTGTCCCCACCACAGCCACATTGTCCCCACCACTGTCCCACTGTCCCCACCACTGTCCCACTGTCCCCACTGCCCCCGCCGCTGTCCCACTGAGCTGTCCCTACTGTCCCATTGTCCCACCACCGTCCTCACCACCGCCTTCATCACTGTCCCCACCACCACCGTCCCCACCACTGTCCTACTGTCCCCACCACCGTCCCCACCACCACCGTCCCCACCACTGTCCCACTGTCCCCACCACTGTCCCATTGTTCCAACCATTGTCCCCATTGTCCCCACTGTCCCCACCAGTGCCCCCACCAGTGTCTCACTATCCCACTGTCCCAATTGTCCCCCCTGTCCCCACCACCGTCCCACTGTCCCCACTGTCCCCACCACTGTCCCACTGTCCCCACTGTCCCCACCGCTGTCCAACTGTGCTGTCCCACTGTCCCCACCACTGTCCCCACTGTCCCCACCACTCCCCACTGTGCAAATGTCCCATTGTCCCACCACCGTCCTCACCACCGCCCTCACCACTGTCCCCACCACTACCGTCCCCACCACTGTCCCACTGTCCCCTCCACTGTCCCACTATCCCTTCACCACTCTCCCCACCACCACCGTCCCCACCACTGTCCCACTGTCCCCACCACTGTCCCACTGTCCCCACAACACCATTGTCCCCACCACCACCGTCCCCACCACTGTCCCACCGTCCCCACCACTGTCCCACTGTCCCGAGGAGCGGGAATCGTCTGTCGGCGGCGAAGAGGCGGGGGGGGGGGTCGAGCCGGTAGTGACCCCCTCCTTTCCATGATGGACTGGGGGGGCATGGGGGGTTCGATATGGAAGTGACCCCCCCGGGTTTTCGATGGGGGATGGGGGGGGACGGATTGGGAACCCCCAGTGACCCCCCCCCGGTTTTCCGCCAGCAGCGGTAGAACACGCTCTTTCTGTGGTCAGATGACGTCTGCTGGAACCCGAGACCCTTCGAATCAGGGGAGCCCCAGATCTTCGCGACTTCGATTGGGGCGCCACAGTGGTGACTGGTCCGGGTTGGGGTTTCCCGCCTCCCTCTCGGCTTCAGGACGAGTACAAGTTGGACTCGAAGGCCGCCGTGCGCCGACGCCCTGCCTCGCCCCTTTCTCGCCCCAGCATCATGGCGCCCAGGCGGCACTCCACCTCGCATGCAAAACGAACTCAAGCGTGCCACAGCACAGCTTCCTAGACAAAAGCAATCCCATGATAGTCCCTGCAGGCATCTGTCTCCGACGCCGCTGAGGGAAGGCTTTCTGGGTACAACCAAAAGAAAGAAACCAGTCAGGACGTGATTGCAATGAACTCTCACTCTTGCGTTTAGGCGGGCGCTTGAAGGCATTGGAATCTCGGATAGGGGACAGGTGCAGAAAAGCGATGCAAAGGAAAAGGGTGCGATGACGAGAATGCGCGTTGAATCATGAGGAGAAGTTCCCGCGCAAACGGTCTCCCCAGACCACTGGTCCCCCTGGGGCAGACACCATTGGAGCTTCCCATCGCTGTGCGACGGCGAGCACGCTTGCCACGTTGGTCACCGAGCTCGGCCTTACCGCGCAATCTGGTGCTGCGACGGACAATTTAATGGAAATCGGGCAGGGACTATATGGAGGCCGAGGAGGGGGATGTGGACAAGGACAGTGACGATTGCCAGGACGAGGACAGATACTGTAAGGAGGAGGATGAGGAGGAACGCTCGGGCCGCCCAACCAGCGCACTTGTTGGTGCGACGGTTGAGGAAGACTGGACAGATGAGCGTGGGGGGCGGGACCGGTGGTGGCAACGGTGAGCGGGACGAGGTCGGAGACGGGAATGGGGACGAAGACGGTGGCGAGGACAAAGACGTGGAGGGCGAAGGGAGGAGGAGGAGGAGGAGGAGGAGGAGGAATGGGATTAGGAGGAGGTGTAATTATGCTGAGATGGAGGAGGAGGAAGAAGAGGAGGAGGAGGAGGAGGAAGGGGAGGAGGCGGAGGAAGGGCAGAGGGAATGGAGAAGAGAGAGGGGAAGGGGGAAACGAAAGAGGAGGAATAGGCTAAAGGACAACGCGATGAGGTTTTCGTTCGCACCCTCTGCCCGCGCGGCCTGAAAGGTGCTCGGCACTGGCTACAACGGCTCCGTGTTTCTGGCGGAGCACAGGGAAACCAAGCTGAAGTATGCTGTGAAAGGCCGCGCGCGAAGTTTGCAGAGGCGAAGAAGAGGGCGGCGCGGAAACTTGAGGGCGGCGAGGAGTCTCCTCCCAGACCTCTCCCTCCACCGTCGCCCTCCACGGCCTCCCTCCACCGGCGGCCTGGCCACCTGCTTCCTCCTCCCCCCCCACCGCCTTCATCCCCCCACTGATCTCCGCTTGCATTCCGCCTTCCTCCTCCCTCCGCCGGGAACAGTGGGCAGACGAGAGACGTGAGGCTCACAGTCTGCCCGACAGCTCGTGTTGCAAACGATGGTATCGCAGCACGAGAGGACGCCTGTCCACGGAGAACGCCAGGTGCGACTGCTCCCGACGGAGCCCTACAGGCTTGAACACGGGCCGCTGGCATGCTGGCATGCTGGTCCCATGGCGTTGCCAAGCAGATCGCCCCGCCCCGATTTCCACCCACACACTTTCCGCATCCCATTACGATCCGATCGATCCGATTCTAGCAGGTTGGATTCGATCCGACTTCGATCATCCGACAATCCGATGCGGCCTGATGATGGCGCAGCGCTGTTGTGAATTCTTACGCGGCCGATCCGATTCGATTCTGGCCCCGTGCCGATGCGACCCGATCCGACGGCAGATCCGATCCGCGGCGATTTCCCGATTCTTAATCCGATCCGTTTTCCCGATTCGATGCTGACCGATCTTGCCCCCTATCCAAGACGGCAACCAGCCCAGCCAGTCCTCGCCCCCTCCCCTGAAGGGAGGATGAGCAGGCGGAGGAGGAGGAACCGGTGAGGAGGAGGCGGAGAAGGCGGAAGAGGCGGAGGAGGGAGGGGGGATCATGAGGATGACGATGACGATGAGGATGGGGATGGCATGATGGTGAGGATTAGGAGGAGGATGGTTATGAGGATGATGTTGATGATGGTGATGACGATGACGATGATGAATCTGATGATGGCGAAGCTGGTGATGATGATGATGAGTCTGTTGATGAGGATGATGTTGATGTTGATGTTGAAGATGAGGATGATGACTATGATGATGATCATCACGAACATGATCATGATAATGATCATGGTGGTGATGGTGACGGTGGTGATGATGACGGCGACGAAGCTGATGATGATAATGGCGACGTTGATGACGAAAAGGAAGATGATGATGTGGATGTGAATGATGATGGTGCTGTTGATGAGGATGCTGATGAGGATGAGGATGAGGATGATGATGATAATGACGATGATGCTGATGCTGATGCTGATGATGATGATGATGATGGTGGTGGTGGTGGCGGTTGTGGTGATGATGATGTTGTTGGTCATGATGATGGTGATGATTATTATAATGATGATTTTGATGGTGATGTTGTTACGGCTTAGTACGATGATGAAGATGAGGATTGTGATATCGACGACGACGATGATGATGATGCTGTTGATGATGATTACGATGATGATGAGGAGGAGTCGGAGGAGGATGGTTAGGATGGTGATGGTGAGGCTCAGTATGGTGGTAATGATGATGGTGATGTTGGTGGTGATGTGGACGACGACGACGCTGCTGATGATGCATATGTTGCTGCTGCTGATGTTGAATATGATGATGATGATGATGCTGCTGCTGCTGATGATGATCATGATGATGATGATTGCTCATGCGATGATGATGGTGAGTGTGGTGGTTTTGGTGACGATGATGATGCAGCTGATGATGATGATGATGCTACTGATAATGATGATGATGATGATGATGAGGATGATAATGCTTATGCTAATGCTTGTGACGATGATGATACTGATGATGCTGATGATGATGATACTGATGATGCTGATGATGATATTGATGATGCTGATGATGATGGTGATGAATGAGTAGACCGCTCCAGAGCAACGGACAGAGTTTCTCGCACTTCTCGTTGTGAGTACATGCGATATAGTTGGCCAGCACTTGCATTTGCCAAAGTCAGGAGGGGAACGAGAGGGCATCCATATATTCACAACCGTAGATGGTCGCGCGCGTCACATGCCAGGCTTCCATCTTCACGGACTCAATTCAGAGAAGCGGGAAGAATTGGAGTCCGAGGCTCTCTTTGCCCTTGTCACGTTCTCTTTACCATTGGTACCTTCTCGAGGTTTCTTGCAAATTTGCGTTGCTTCTTGCTCGAAGTCCTCTTCGCCATTTGGAAGTCGTCCCTTTGTCGACGTTGTGTTGTCCTGCTCTTCGGACTGGAACGAGATCGCTTCAGTGTGCCTGATCACTGTCAAGGCGTCTGAATCGGTCCTGTTCCATCAATCGGGCGATCTCCAGGGGCACATGGCCCACATATCAAGACGTATTCTGAATTCGTGCCTGCATGCTCACGCTTCTGGTGGCCAATCCAAGATTCAGCGAGCCAGCATCTCTGAGTGCAGCCTTCTACTCGTTTGTCGAGGCAGCGACGGACAGAAACCGTGGCAGAGGCTCAGGGTGTTTGCGTTGAGCGGTGCGTACGCCATACGAAAGATGCGATCATGTTTACGACCGGCAACGCTAAACATCGGAGGTGAGGGGGTGAGATCGAAGTGGAACGGAGAGCCCCCCTACCGGGAAATCGATTTCGGTTTCGTGTTCGTGCGTGCCGTGCGTGCGGGCGAGGCGAAGCTGCGTGAGCGGGCGAGAGAAAGTCTCCTGTGGCTGAGGCGCGGCCGGACCAAATGATTTTCCACAGGGCGGCCGGTGGCGCGCGGTGTCCCGCCGGTGTCCCGCCGGTATCCCGTGTGGCTGAGGCGCGGCCGGACCAAATGATTCCCTTCCGGGCGGCCGGGGCCCCGCAGTGTCCCGCCGGTGTCCCGTCGGTGCCCCGTCGGTGTCCCGATGATGATGATGATGATGATGATGATGATGATGATGATGATGATGATGATGATGATGAGGATGATGATGATGATGTTGATGGTGATCATGGTGATGATGATGTTGATGTTTGACTTCGATGATCGATAGTGAGATCGATAGTGAGGTCGAATGTGAGATCGATAGTGAGGTCGATAGTGATATCGATTGTGAGATCGAACGTGAGACCGAATGTCAGACCGATTCTGAGATCGATTGTGAGATCGATAGTGGTATCGATAGTGAGATCGATTGTGAGACCGAATGGGAGATCAAATGTGAGATCGATTGTGATATCGATAGTGAGATCGATAGCGAGACCGAATGCGAGATCGATTGTGGGATCTATTGTGAGATCGATAGTCAAATCGATTGTGAGATCGATCGATTGAGATTGAAAATGAGATCGATAGTGAGTTCGATAGAGAGATCGATGGTGAGACCTTGTGAGATCGGTTGTGATATCGACAGTGAGTTCGATAGTGAGACCGAATGTAAGACCGATAATGAGATCGAAAGTGAGTTCGATAGTGAGATCGATAGTGAGACCGAATGCGAGATCGATTGCGAGATCGATTGTGACATCCATAGTGAGATCGATAGTGAGACCGAATGTGAGATCGATAATGAGATCGATTGTGAGTTTGATAGCGGGATCGATAGTCGGATCGAGTGTGAGATCGACTGTGAGATCGATTGTGATATCGATTGTGAGATCAATAGCGAGACCGATTGTGAGATCGATGGTGAGATCGATTGTGAGATCGATTGTGCGATCGATAATCAGATCGATCGTGAGGTCGATCGATTGAGATCGATTGTGAGATCGGTAGTGAGTTCGATAGTGAGATCGATCGAGTGCGACGTTGGCCCCTCCCCCCCCCTCACCTCCTTATCACCCGAAGGGTGGTCGTATAGGTATGTACTTAGCTTACGTAGCGAAAATACTCAAAACTGCGTAGGCGGTGGACGGATCTTAAGCTGAGGCAAGAATGTGCAGAACACCTCGGCGACCAGGGCAGGGAAATGAGACATAGCAACAGACAATAAGCGCAAAGTGAGCAGAAATGCCAAGCATTACCAACCATGCTCTTGGAGAGTCCCCCCTCCACGGAGAGCCCTCGCAACGTGGTCCGCAAGGACCATGCTGTAGAATTACGCGCCGCGTTTACCACTTTCTATGCTTGAGCGTGGCGTGACTATAACAATGCACTTGGTCCCGTTGCCATTCAATTGCATGTCGGATGCTTATTGGAGCCCCCAGGGGAACAACAGGCTGTACACCAAAATCTAGTTTTGAGTATTTTCGCGGTCTCTCGTTTGAGATCCTCTTGGGGCCATCTAGGGTCTCTCTTGGGCCACTCTCAGGATTTTATTGTGCTTTTCAAATCGTCCTGCCGAACAATCTGGAGGCCTCCGAGGCCGATCTGCATAGCCAATGGTCTCGAGCTGGCCCCCAAATGCCAACATATGTTTACCTAAAACGTGCAACACTATGCAGTATGATTATGGAAGAGGGAAGGAGGGCATCAACATCAAGTTTCCGACCGGTATTCCAGATCATACGTATTATGTGTTCTCTAGTGTGTTGTATTCGTTTCGTTCACTCGGCCAGCCCATTCCGTATCATTGCTGTAAGTTGTCCGCACGTTCGTGGGTGAGGAGACGGTGGTGGGCTGCGGTTGTTTTCTTGAGCTGTCCTGTGATGTGTGCTTGAGGGAGAAACAGCTATAGGACAAGGCAATGCTCAAGGCAGTCTGTAGCGCTATTTGGGTGGCCCTTGGCCGGACTGGGCGTGGCTTGAGGCAATCAGATTTGTTCGGGCAGGTGTGGAGTTTTAGTTTTTGTCCCCCGCAAGAATTTCAATGCGATTTTGTCCGCAGTTGTTTTAGTGCAATCCGTAGCCATTTGGGCTCAAACCGTTGTGGCTCAAGTGAAACAATCTCTCAAGGCAGCTGGCTAAGTCAGCGTTGGCCGACACTCCGGTAGGCGGTGTGGCCTCAGGTGTCGTGCTCTCTTGGCGATTGAGTGGGTTCCTACTGGAGCCTAGTTCTTCGTTCTTTGGGCCACACTGCCCCAGCATGGGCCGTGCTGGTGTTCGCACAAAGGGGAAGAACACATCGTGGAAGCAGTTCGAGTCCGTCACTCGGCCGTGGCGAGGCTGTTCGCAGGAGGTGGCCGACATTCTCGCCCAGACGGTGGTCGCGTGGCAGCCCGAACTCCAGTGATACCAGGAGCCGCAGTGATCGCGATCGAGGGCGAGCGCAAGGTCGGCCGCCAGCGTGGATGGAGTCGCTTATGCAGGACATCGAGGCCACGAATGAATGAGTCGGACACTCACTTAGAGAATTCTGTGAGGACCGAAATGAGCGCCACGCGAACGACGCTCGGATATCATGATCAGAAGATGCAGGATATGCGCAAGAGGGCGCAGGCAGTCGATGAGGCGCAGGCGGGCCACGTGAACGATGCGATCCGCTTGACCTTGGGTGAGAAGGCGAATCGTATTCAACCCCAGCTTGGCGGGCGTCAATCGAACGGGCCAGCGCCAACAGGAGCTCAGGCGCAGGTGGAAGTGATAAAGAAAGGGATTGTTTCCATGGAGGTAAGGGACAAGCCGCAGCGCGGACTGGCGAAGAGCGCGCGCGCTTGCGAGCTGGAGGGTGCGCGCAGGTTGACCCTGGTAGGATTTGAGTCGCCGCTGATGGCGCGGTCCTTGCGGCGCGCGGCGGAGGCTGTGAGAGCGCGGCGCGCGCTGGCCCACGAACAGGAGGACATTGCGATCAAAGCCTTCGACATGTCGAGGACGGCCATTTTCGAGTTCTCGTCGGCGCTGAAGTGCACCGACTTGCTGAATGCGTGCACGGCGCTGGGGGCGCCTGCCTTCTCGAGCCCGACCGGTCGAGCGATCTCGTGCTAGCTGACGGCGGAGCGCGACGTCGGCCTGGGGGCCCCTTGGCTGGCCGCTACGAGGTTGGGTGCAACGGCTGTGCCAGCGCGGCCTTTATCGCGCGCGGCCCTGGGCGCCCCGTCGCGCCCGCGCATTTCGGGTTGGAAGGAGGGGGATTTCGCATTGGATTCATGGGCGGGCCGTTTCTTTTGCAACTTCCGGTCTCCGCAAGCGCTGCTGTCTGTCAGAGCGGCGATTGCGATTTTTTTCGGCGGCGAGCGCCGTTGTGTCAGCAATGATAAAGGCGCTCGTGCACCGGCGGTCGTCTTTCCGCCGAAGCGCGCGCTATGACGGCGACCAGCAGAGCACGTGAAGAGCACGCGGTGCCCGCGAGCGCCCAAGTCCAGCGCGCCGAACGTCAAGTGCACGGTCCAAGTGCCCCGGCGCCGCTTCGCCCCCAGCGAGGTCGGGGCCCTCGGGCCAAGACGCCGCCCCCAGATGCCCAGCCTACCTCTGCGCGCCCATCGCCAGACAAGGCTGTCAGAAAAAATAGAGCCCCCCGTCCCCCCATCGCCAATGGCAAGCAGCGCGAGGTTCTTCGCGTTCGGCCCGAGCCCAAGAGGGCCCCCCAGTTGCGGGGCAGGTCCAGGATCGGGCAGAGCCCTGGGGAATCACCCCGACGAAGACATCAAATCGTCACTTTGCCTTAGCAAACTGTCCGCGCGATGGCTGCCGCGGCGCAGTAAACACGGCGGAATAGGATCTGCAGCAATTGCATGCAGACGCACGCTTGACGGGCCCCTCTGTTTCGCGCCCCTCTTTGTCGCAGTGGCAAAATCGGTGGCCCCCCATCCGACCAAACTGCCGCCTCGTTATGCGCAGAGCGGCCGCGGAATCTCCGTCGCGCTGCGCACCGCGAGAATCCGCGCAACGTGGATGGACGACAGGCAACGGCAAAGGCGAGCAACTGAAGGCCACGGGGTGCCCCGCAAGGATACTGCCGATGGCCCTTGGAGTCCGCAGTCGCCACGTTCGACGAGATCGCCCGCCCATGGCCCCCCCCCCCGCGCTGATCAGCAAGGGCCGTTGTTTCGGCAGCGGCGTTGAGCGGGGGCCCGCGCGCAAGAGACATGATCTTGGCATCCGAGTCGCACGGCGCCGGGGGGTGAGCGATCTCGAGGAGCTCTAGCACGCGGACTCACGAGCGCCGTCAGGGCCCACCCCCATCGACAAGAGCAACAGCTTCACATCCCGCGCGCCGGTGGGCATAGAGCGGCTACAAGTGTCATGGAATTCAAAATGCGCATCGCATGACAATTCC